GGGGTCTCCCTCCGGACACTGCTCCTGCCTGCAAGCACTGCCCCCGCAGCTCCCATTGGCCGGGAACTGGGAGCTGTGGCCAATGGGAGCTGCGGGGGCAGTGCTTGTACAGAGGGGAAGCGCGTGGAGCCAAGTGCCCCTCCCGCCCAGGGGACGCAGGGGTGTGTTGGCCCCTTCCAGGACCGACATGGAGCCAGGGTAGGCAGGGACCCTGCCTTAGTGGCAGCCCCGCAGCACCACTGGAGATCACCATCGACTGCGAGATCCTCTAGGATAGGTTGGTGACCACTGGCCTAGCTGATATCAGCCAACAAGGAATGCTTTGGGAGAAGGCATACAGCATTGCTGGGTCTCACATGCATGTGATGTCTGCTGGTGCTTTGATCAGAGGAATGTGGTGAATGGGGATGGGAGATAACCTAGAGCCAGGTCCACGCTAAGAAGTTAGATCAACCCAGCTACATCGCTCAGGGGTGCAGTTAAGATGACCTAGCCCCTGGTGTAACAGAGGTGAATTAACTACTGTGATTGGAAAACCCCTTCTGATGCTGTAGTGAATGTCTACACTTAAATCGCTACAGCAGTGCTGCTGTAATGGTACAAGTGCAGATGTATCCTGAGTCTGGGGGTTTTCCAGCTGTACTTAAACAGTTCAAAGGTAGGTATTTTGGCCTGCAAGGCAAGCAACAATTTTGTTTGACAGCCTGTGATGCTGACAGATCAGGTGCCAACTCAGGCCAAGGTACTCCGGGGAACTACAGGCCAGTCAGCCTCACCTCAGTCCCTGGAAAAATCATAGAGCAGGTCCTCAAGGAATCAATTATGAAACACTTAGAGGAGAGGAAAGTGATCAGGAACAGTCAGCATGGATTCACCAAGAGGAAGTCGTGCCTGACTAACCTAATTGCCTTCTATGATGAGATAACTGGCTCTGTGGATGAGGGGAAAACAGTGGATGTGTTATTCCTTGACTTTAACAAAGCTTTTGATACGGTCTCCCATAGTATTCTTGCCGCCAAGTTAAAGAAGTATGGGCTGGATGAATGGACTGTAAGGTGGATAGAAAGCTGGCTAGATCATCGGGCTCAACTCCATGTCTAGTTGGCAGCTGGTTTCAAGTGGAGTGCCCCAAGGGTCGGTCCTGGGGCCGGTTTTGTTTAATATCTTTATTAATAATCTGGAGGATGGTGTGGACTGCACTCTCAGCAAGTTTGCAGATGACAATAAAATAGGAGGCGTGTTAAATTCACTA